TGACACTACGTTACCTCATCTCCTTGTTCGTTAGTGACACCACCACCATGAATCCCCTTTCCACCCTCCCACCACCACCCTTCAGCGTCTTCCTCAATCCTCTCAGAGGCAATAGAAGCACAGTAGCTGCTGCTCTGTCCCTGTCTTAGACCTTCTCTCCACCCTGAAGTGACCTTGACACCCCACGATTAGGACCAGTCTGGTTCTCATCATATGGCCCATGTTTCAGCCACTGTAAGTTGTCATCGCTGTCAGGGTCTCCACCCTCCTTGCCAGTTACATAAGAGGCCACATAAACGTCTGCTCCCTAGCACAAGCTTTTATTAAACAGACACCGCACAAGAGGCCAAGTGGGCAAGAGGTCCATCCGGTGCCACATTCCCCAGGGAGGGAGAGGGGCTGTCTCCAGGTCTTGACTCCCAGAGCGAATCAGCCCAGCTCCCTGCCTGTATTTGCAGCCTTCGGTACCAAGGACAACATGTTATGTTTTCAGCCTGAAGAAGCAAAAGAGCAGCAGTCTTTTCAAAAATAAGAATTCCCTTGCTGTTTGTTTCCTTTTGGAACACAATGAGAACAGACTGAGGACATGACTCTGAGCTGTCAACGCTTCCTCCCGGCTTCCACAGCACCTTTCCTTTGCCAGGAAGAAAAAAAAAACAAAAACCTGCTGAAGTTAAACAAGAGCTTAATGAATAGTCAAAATAATTGTTTAGCTTGGATATAAGGCCTTAGGTGAAGAGATGATTGCTGGGGGCCGGGGGCCAGTAAAAGCAGCTCAGCAGGACACCACTTGTGCTGTCCTTCAGACAGAGCCCAGTGGTCTCCTCCAAGGTCAGTTGTCGCTGAGCTGTTTCTCTTCTCACCACCACACTGAGGCAATTTGGCATCAGCAGGGACTCACAGAAGTAGGGAGAGAGAAAAGAACTTCCCTTATTAAAAATATATGCCGACAGCTTTCATCTTACTACATTAGAGCTTCATTTACACAGAACACCCAGGATATGGAAAATTTGGTTTGTTTATATTTAACTCTTTTCCATGTTGAAAATTTCTAAAATTCCATTAGTCCACTTACAGTTGTCCTGCCTCCTGCCACACTAGTATTTTTAACATAATTTAATCCAATTATTAAAATAATTATTTACTGCTCTCAGAGCTATCATGAGGTTTATGAGTGATCCACTTTTATGGTTGCAGTTGTAGTTAAAGATGGTGTAAGCAGTGAAACTGAATCTTTCATGTGTGATTTTGTTGATTTGTGTATACTGGTGTATGTTGCTTGTTTAGATGTTCTTGCTATGAACTTGCTGATGGTTGATTCTTTTACCTCAAAAGTGAGGTGCATAATAAAAATTCTGCCTGATTAAGAACTTAAGTAAATTAATTACCAGCTAATTTCAGTTCTGCTGGATATTTTTAATCATTGCTTTCCATTTTGAACTTGAAAGTAATAGATGCCTTGTCGATCCAGAACAGGATTCAATTATCTTTTCATACAACCCTTCTCCACTGCAGTGCTATTTGGTTTTTGTTTTTGTTTTTGCTTTTCTGTTTTTTGCAACAGGGTCTCACTATATAGTTGAGACTGACCTGGAACTCACTTTGTAACCCAGGCTGGTCTCAAACTCACAGCGATCCTCCTACCTCAGCCTCCTGAGTGCTGGGATTAGAGGCTTGCGCCACCACGCCTGGCTGCAATGCTCTTTGAATAAACATCTATCTGACTTAATTTGGAATTCATCAAAGCAAAAGGCTCCACTGGTATTCAGTTTTTAGGAATCATAATGACTACATCTTTGTGCATTGGTAGACACCCATCAGAACATTGGGCAAGAAAAAATTTAATGTTTATGAAATTTTTTGTTGCTCATATAGGAAAAGTTTGGACTTAGTATTGAGCCTAAGCACAACCTCTCACTATCTCTATGAGTTTGGACAAATTACTGAATTTTCACTGGCTTTAATTTCCTCAACTGTAAAACTGTCTAATAAGTTTAATAATGCCTACTTTGGGTTGATGATATGAGCTAATACATATAAAATGCTCAGCACAGTGTAAGTTATTAATAAATGTTAATCATATTTTTCATACATGTTAGAATGTCCTAATGTCAACCCTGAGAAGTAGGCAAATTTGCTATAAATACGCAATTTAGGTATTAGAAACTAGATCTCACAGGGGTTATTGGTTTGTCCAAGGTTATTCAATAAGGCAAGATGATGGCGAGGACTCCTGAGTCCTGGGTATCCTCCTACTCTTACACACTTCTCTCTGCCCATCCTGCTCTGTGGTGCTTGCTCTCTCTCCTGTTTCCTTAAATCTGAAGTCTCACCTGATAATGGGCCTCTGCCTCACACTCCCAGACGGACAACAGGAATAAATCTTGTGAGAGGCTTTAAAACTTACACCAATATTACGTAGGTCTTGTATGGGGAGATGATAACCCTCATAGCTAAAAAGTCAAAAGCTGCTCTTTGACAGTACTGAGAAGAGAAGTGAATGTCATTCGGCAAACTTAAGGCTCATGGAAGAAGCCTAAGAGATTATGGGAACAGGTCACAAATCCACAAGGCCAGCTCCGCTGACCAAATGCCTGCAGTTTCATCTACGTATGGGTTTTAAAAGTATAAGCATAAGTCTGCCTTCCCATTTTAAATATAAAATAGCTAAACTATAAACTCATTTGCAGGCAGCACTGAATTTCTTTTATCATTTTAACATGCTATGTTTTTTTAATGGATTTGAGAAGTAGGAATTCTGTCACGGAGGGGTGGATCTAAAGTTTTGTTCTGTTTCATTTTGAAAACAAATTCTACACTCTTGGTGAGGGTAGATACGGATGGTGTTGAGAAGAGAGCACTGCCTATGAAATCTAACACCCTGAATTTAACTCCTGCTCATTATAGGCTTAAAGTGCCATCAACTCAGGAAGCTCAAGGAAAGTCACTGGATTTTTTTTTTTTTTAATGTACCGGGGATCAAACCCTTGCACTTGCAAGGCAGGTGGTGGAACCACTGAGCTAAATCCCAGCCCAGTCACTGGATTTTTACTGAGTGTCTTTAATGAGATTGAGTCCTTTGGTTGGGGATCTAGGGAGAATAGCAGTATTTGAGCCATTCTTCTCTGAGCCACTACTTTTTCTTATAAAATAAAGAAAATAGAGCATTCCTCTCAAGACTGTGAGTATTCAATGAGAGAAAACCCAACACTAAATCCACTGTGAAATTTGTGAAAGTGCTTTGTAAACTCTAGAGCATTATAACCATAGGTTGCTCAAGGAAACTACAAGGAGAGAAGACTTCAACTCTTTTGGGAGTCTTTCCTTCAACTATTGACCGTCCACCTCACACTTACCAAAGCTAACAGGATTGTCTTCTTTGACATCAGACTATATTCGTATTTTCAAATGTACTTTTTCATCTCTTCCTTCTTCCTCTCACTTTATCTCTTTTAATCTTTTTAACCAATTCATTTATTTTTATTCCCTAAACTGTAACATCCTTTGATACCAAGAGCACAAATACCAGATCAGAGTCTACAGAACTCAATAAATAAAGTGCTGATATAAAGTTCAAAGCTGAGAAGAGTCCAAGAGCTCACGGCTTGTACTTTATAACCCATAGAACACGTAAGACCCATCTGTGAAGGGCAATTTACACATTGTCAGTTGCATGGGTTGTAGCAGAAGAGGATCCCACCCATGTCTAACTCCAACAGTCAGGACAAGAGGAGAAGACCGTTCCCCATCTCTGGTCCAGGTGAAGGTCCAGTGTGCTATGTTAGGCCCGGGAAAAGTGGCTTATGGGAGGTGCTCCACTGCACCTGAAATTAATGCTCCTGGAATCAAAACCTTCCCAGATTTGGTTCCTCCAGAAACACATCAGTTCTCTTCTATTTCTCCCTCTCCTTGATTCCAAATAATAATAACTGGCAAACCTGGTCTTTTGCTCCTGACAACAGAAGACACTCCCTTAGAGCCCACCACATACCCGACCCCACACAAAACACTAGGGAGAAACGCAGATACTATAATGTCCACAATCCCTGCTTTGCAGGAGTTGAGAAGGAATAAATCAGCATTTCTTGCCAGGCAGCAAGTGTTACTACTCTGACAATGGCATTTTGAAGCAAGTCATTTTATGAGTGAGACACCTGAAGCTGAGAAATAAATGTTCCAAGTTGCACACGTAGCAAGTGTCTGATCTGGATTTGTCCTAGGTCTGCTTTATTCTAAAGCCCATGCACTTTCTACTCTATTTCATCACTTTCCTTGATTGGGAAGGCAGAATACACACCAAAATGGAAAGAGGGCGCAGTTATTAAAAGAAGCCTATAGGGCTGGAGATTTAGCTCAGTAGTTCCGCCACCTGCCTCGCAAGTGCAAGGAGTGCAAGGACCAGAGTTCGATCTGCAGTACCAAACAAAAATAAATAAATAAAGGCCTTTGTCTCTGAAAGAAGCCTACAAATAAATAAGTACTATAAACTCTAGGAACTCTAGAGGCATCATAGGTGCTCAGAGGCTAAAGTATCTGGAGCTTAGCTGGCCTGAGAACAGATTCTAATACAGATCAGAGACACAGCCTTGGGGAAAGGAGTGTGGACACCAGTCTGAAAACAAGGAGACTGCAAACAGAGAAAATGACAAAAGTTATGATCCCAACACACCATTTGTCCTTCCAAGTTTGAATGCTTGTCTTTATAGCTTGGGAAGTATAAGAACTATGGAAAATTTGCAAGTTGCAGTCATCTTCATTGACCAGGTAAATGCCAGAGAGCAGTGGTTCATTACTCAGTGTCCTGCCAGCCCATTATGCTCAGCACTAATTCAACATCCCTTCCCACCTAGTGCTCTCTGAAGTAAGGTAAAAGGGAATCATTTTCCTCGTGACATCTAGAGTTGGTTCCGTTGACATAACTGGTTAGGAGGATTTACAGAGGAAAAGTGAATACACTTGGCAGCATCTTCAAACATCTGTTTGGATTTTCTGTTTTTTAGGAGATGTACGACTAAGGGGTCAGACGGGGGTTCCTGCTGAACGCCGAGGCTCCTATCCATTCATTGACTTCCGTCTACTTAACAGTGAGTAATCAAGTGTACCTGGAAAGGGACAAATGATTTCTTCACAAAGAAAAAAAAACAATCCTCATTTCCCTCTGAACTTCAAAACCTTCGAGATCTGCCTGCTTTCCTCCATCTCCAGCTGAACTTGAACATTTGTCTTTCCATTTCCTCACTTGAGAAGTAATTCCAACCCCTGCCCTACCTTTCAGAGCCATAGTGAGGGTCCAGATCATGTCAGCTTTAACAATGTAAATCTTTAAAATGATGAAACCTTTTACAAGAAAGGTATTATTTTCATTTTTCTTCTATCTTCAGCCAAGACTAGACTCGATGAGATTCTATTCTATTTTTAAAGCCTCACAGGGAAATTGATCCACAATTGGCTTTAGAAGCTCACTATTACCTAATTCTCTCTTCTTTATCTAATCTAAGCCCTTGAGGTCTATTCTTGCATTCCCAATCAAATTGCTCATCCTGACGAAGTTCTTTTAGTTGCACGTGAGGTTTCCTCCCTCATCCTTACCTCAGAGATGCTCTTGTTTCTATTTTTCCTTCCATTATTACTCCTCATTTGGAGTTTTGCTCAAACATTGATTCATAATTCTCTTAACATTAAGCTTCTCTGGAAATCCAAACCAAGAACCAGTCATCCCTCTAGATTTCTTACCTTCTATCATAATCGTCCTCCACCTTGGGCTTCTGGTGGGTGGTGGTACCTAGGGGACCACTGATACATTTCACAATTTGCTCCAAGGTTCTCAGTGTTTGGGTCCCGTGTCATTCCTCATTCATAAATTCCAAGTTGTGGATTGCACCCACAAAGTATTATTTTCCTTTGATGTAAACAAGCTCATATCAAGACGTAATTTGATTTACCTCAACCCCTGGAAATTACTAGGTGAAATTATAACTGGCTATTTCTGATCCTCAATCCTTGAAAGGTTAGTAGGAGGTGGATGTGTGTTGTATTTCTCCTGGCTTGTTAACCTCTCGTATCGATGTGCAATTTTGTTTTTTTCTTTTAGCTCTTCCAATGATACAAAAACTTGGAGTAATTCTTTCCATACTAGAAACAATCTCCCCCACACATCCACAAAATGCTTTTTGGAATTCAGAGAGCCACTAGACCAAAGCAGTATTGGACACCGCCTGTCCTGTCGGGACTCTAGTGTTTCTGATCCCTTCTCGTGACCCAAATGGGCTGTTTCAACTACCCATGGCAGCTGTACCTTTCTCAGTCTCTATATGATACGGATTTCAAGGTTCCAGACAGATGATCCACCAAGCATGACGCAAATGAGCAAAAGAGCCAGCTAACTATTTTATTATATCAAAATTCTCTAGTGGCATCACATTTTGAAAGTCAGAGGGACAAAATAACCAAAATGCTTCTTTGCAATCACAGATGTTAGCTGGGTGTGGTGGTGGGTGCCTGTAATCCCAGCACTTGGGAGGCTGAGGCAGGAGGATGGTCACAAGTTCAAGGCCAGCTTGGGATCCACAGGGAGACCCTGTCTCAAAAAAACAAATAACAGATGTTATTTTATGGACTCTAACATAAGCCTTTAGCAAATCAGGAAAATAGGAGATACCTATCTTTATAATGCAAAGTTCCAAATTTTTTTTCTAAATTTAATCTCAGTGCCATTAAGCAACATCATTATAACTGGGATCTTTGCAGTGGACCTATGTACTCTTTAACTGTCTGCATCATACACGTCTGGATGTAAAAACACTTGGATTTTTCAAAATTAATTTGTGTTTCTTTCACTTTCTTAATCTGAAAAAACTGCAGAAATATATATAAATTTAAAGAGAAATTCCTTGCAGGTAGTATTTCATTGTCATACCAGTCACCATATGAAAAACCATCTGTAAGCAGCTGCCATACTGTCATCCCTCTTTTGGGATCCTCCAGGACCTTCTTAGGACCTGGACTCAGCCGCACTTCCTTTCCTGGCCCTGGAGGCCGCCTGCCTACCCTTCCCCCATTTCTTCCCACTTTTTGCCTTGGAGCCTCCTCTCATAGAGTGACTGCGTTGACCTTTCATCCTGAAATTTCCTTTCCATTTTTCTCAGCACTCCATTCTGGATAACTCTTTCACTCGTGTTCCTTTATTTATACTATATGCTAAGGCAGTACTAATTTACCTTCACTGTATTTTTCTTTCTACGTGGTCTTGATTTTTTTTCCTTAGATATGTAAAATATGGTCCTAAATAGGTTACAAGATCCTAAAGGTCAGTCTCCATAACTATATTGTTAACTTAGTAGAGTAAAGGATCTCACAAAAAAAATTATAGTCAATAATTACAAATGTAAATCATCCACTACATTTAACTGGACAGTTCAGATCAGATGGAAAATCTCTGAGATTTTTCCTTAGTTTTTAAACTATCCACCATCTTTCTAATGCCTGCATTTACCCTGCCAATGAGTTGAAACTAGAACACACACATTGCTATGATCACTCTCCAGTTTCCTAACAGAGCAATTATAACAGTTGTCACCAAGTGGCAGCATATAAGTGGATATCTCTGTAAAAAGCAGTGACATAAGATACCGTACACACCACATCTCCTACTACATTATATAGGCTACCAACTATTTTGTTAACTTCAATCACATTCATGTCCTTGTTGAGATTTGCCTGAATCACTAATGTGTGCTTTCTGCCTAAATGGCAAACATTTCATGTTCTAAATTTTTCCTGTTAACCACTGATTTCAATTCTACACATAAATGCCAAAGTGATTCTTTATATCACTTACCTTAATTTTGAGTCAATTTCTTCCAAAGATGGACACAGACTGAAATCTTCATTTTCCTCAAGTGTTTGCAGTTTTACTCTCCTTCCAAAGATAGAGCACAATCTAGAACTTTTTGTAACATTATTTATAGGAAAAAAAAAAAAAAACAAGCACTATAGCCTCCATTTCCAAGTTCTGCATTCCTGCAACCTTCCTTCTGAAACGCTTAATAAAACCCACATTATCCCCACCTAAAATTCCCCCAGGCTGTTTTCCTTCCATCAACCACTTCAATCCTTGCCTTGAATTGCTGGAAAATGTGCAAGCAAAATGTATATTAAATAATAAGGCCTATTGCATTTCGCCATCAGGCCCATTAGTTACAGCTCCAACCTGTCACAGCAGACAAAGACCACAGAATTAATATCTAAAATAACTTGCTTTCCATCAGAACAAAGTTTCTAGGTATTAAAACAGATAAGTGGAACAGAGGTAGACAGATGACAGCCCATACTCTAAATTTGTCCCCCTACCCCTGCATGTTTTGGTAAATAAAGTTTTACTAGAACACTTCCATGTCCCTTTATTTCTGAGTCTGTCATCTAAGGCTGCTTTCATACTACAGTGGCACAGTAGTTGCAAAAGAGACCATATGATCAACAAAGTCAGAAATGCTACATTGCCCTTCATACAAAAAGGTTGCCAACCGCTAATTCAGATTTTCTTAAATAGATTTAGAAGTGTTTTATGACATTTTCATAGATACATTCAGTTGACTCTATTTTCCTTTCTTAGCGTCATCTCTTCTTTTCACTACCAATGCTTTACTTTCAAGCATGGATTTTAATATTGATTAAGTATACATCAGATGGAAGTATGAAAAGAACATGAACCTCACTTAGGCATCTAGGTTTAAAATTCCAATTTAGAATGATAATTTCCAATTGCACAAGCATTCTTCTGGAAGAGATGTCCCTTTCCACATATTTGGGAGAGGAAGGGACAAAACACTACCCCCACACACACACCTGGTACCTACTGTCCACATATAAGGTGGTTATATACCTGGTTTACCTGGCATAGTCCTAGTTTGTACCTGTTGTCAGACATATGTACTAAAAATGCCATTTTACATTCCTAATGATATGTCCTTATAGGCCAACTGCTTATAAAGGTTTCCCACAAAAGGGTACTTAAATACACTGCCTCTCAAAGATCACATGAAGTTCAAGAGACTAGGTACAACATGATGAATATAGTAAATAACAAATGAATAGCATTGAAATTTGCTATGAGAATAGATTTTAAGTAGACTCATCATAAAGAAACAATGTGTGAGGTAATGAATGTTATTTACCTGATTAAGTCATTCCATAACATATGCTTAATTTAAAATATGATCTTATATACCATAAATATGTATACTTTTATTTGTCAATTATGTAATAAAAAGGCATATGCATCCCAGGAATAAACATTAGAAAACCCTCCTCATAAGAGATCATCCAGATCAATAGAAATACACAAGACAAACCTACTTGTAAAAGCCAGTTTCATTTCTTGTTTCTGTGTCACACAATTTAGAAGAGCAGTATCTATATGAGTTTCTAGAAACTTCTCTGGAAATGTAGTAGGAAATCATGGTTCTGATACCATTGTGTGGGACACAGGAAACACAGACCTTTCAAGAAGAGAGCTACCTATACACCCAGCATGGAGGGAACAGGAGAAAGTGAGAGAAAAGGGTTGTGATTATTTTTGTTCCAGAAAAGGTGCTAAAACACAACTGGAGGCCACAAGAAATAAAAGCATAACAGCTCTATTATCCTAATGCTGACTTCCTTGCGATGTATTTCATTTACTAACTTTGTTGAGGGGGAACAGGAAAGAAAATGTGGGGAAGAGTATTCACAGACAGGGACACAGGTGATCGGAACAGAAGAGTTACAATCCTCTGAGAGAGGAGCTCCTGCTGCCCCCTGCACAGCTCTATCTCCTGACTTAATGTAATCAGTAGCCTGCGTAGATAATGACTAGGTTGAGATGTTCCCCTGGCAACCATCTCAGAACAATACAATGTTATTTGCACACCCGCTCAGCAGAGGACGTGACATAGGAAGAAAGCATTCTCAGGGACTGTGGAGCCTTAGGGAAGGCAGTGCTTTGGCTGGAGATTTCAGGGCACAAACTTCAGCGGGCACAGAGCTCGGTACTGCAACCCAGTCCCCCAGCTTTGTGGTAGTAGGTTAATCAGCCGTTTTGGCTTTT